TAGGAAATTGTGCAAATAAAAAAGTACATTTGAAGCAGACATTTGAAAGAAGGCACGGGTAGTCTAGTTTTGAGTTCTAACAAAAAAATGAAACTTGATATTATTTATTCAATAAGATATACTTCTCACAATAAATATAGTTTAATTATCAAAATAAATTTATAGAAAAAATGTGAAAACAAGATTAACCCTTGGCCTGCTAAGTCTACCAAGTGAACCATGCAGACCCAAAATCTGACCCAACATCACCATGTGATCAGTTAAGACCAAGATCAGCCCTCACATTGCCATATGATCAGTGCAGACCCAAGATCAACCCTTACATCAACATGTGATCAGTGCAGGCCAATATCAGCCCTCACATCACCATGTGATCAGTGCAGGCAAATATCAGCCCTCACATCACCATGTGATCAGTGCAGACCTAAGATCAGCCTTCACATCACCATGTGATCAGTGCAGGCAAATATCAGCCCTCACATCACCATGTGATCAGTGCAGGCCAATATCAGCCCTCACATCACCATGTGATCAGTACAGACCTAAGATCAGCCTTCACATCACCATGTGATCAGTGCAGACCAAGATCAGCCCTCCCATCACCATGTGATCAGTTAAGACCTAAGATCAGCCTTCACATCACCATGTGATCAGTGCAGGCCAATATCAGCCCTCACATCACCATGTGATCAGTGCAGACCAAGAACAGCCCTCACATCACCATGTGATCAGTGCAGGCAAATATCAGCCCTCACATCACCATGTGATCAGTGCAGACCAAGATCAGCCCTCACATCACCATGTGATCAGTGCAGGCCAATATCAGTTCTCACGTCACCATGTGATCAGTGCAGGCAAATATCAGCCCTCACATCACCATGTGATCAGTGCAGGCAAATATCAGCCTCACATCACCATGTGATCAGTGCAGACAAGATATCAGTCCTCACGTCACCATGTGATCAGTGCAGGCCAATATCAGTCCTCACGTCACCATGTGATCAGTGCAGGCAAATATCAGTCCTCACATCACCATGTGATCAGTGCAGGCAAATATCAGTCCCTCACATCACCATGTGATCAGTGACCAAGCCAGATATCAAGATCCTCACGTCACCATGTGATCAGTGCAGGCAAATATCAGTCCTCACGTCACCATGTGATCAGTGCAGGCAATATCAGCCCTCACATCACCATGTGATCAGTGCAGGCCAATATCAGTCCTCACGTCACCATGTGATCAGTGCAGGCCAATATCAGTCCTCACGTCACCATGTGATCAGTGCAGCACTCACATCACCATGTGATCAGTGCAGGCAAATATCAGTCCTCACGTCACCATGTGATAAGTGAAATTCCAAGTTTACCCTCACATCTTTGCCATCTAAACATGGTCTGCACTGTTTACTACTAAGTAAGTACATGATTTGATTCATTCCCTAAAAATGATAAATGGTTTTGTCCAGGTTGAAAGATGTGGAATTCCATTTTGGTGGATAATGGTTAAAATTTGAGCAAATTCCTAATAAAAGATTTAACTGTTTATACATAAATATTTCATTTCCTCTGTTGGGTCAATATTTTCAAAAATGCTATAAATGGCTTAAATGTAATATGTTTATAAACCTTCATGTAATAATGGACAATTTAAGTCTCAACCATTGAGCATTGTAGAAATTAAGACACACTTGCAAAACCTTTATTTTGAATACAAAAAATGAGGTCATCAATGATTTTGTTCATGAACAATAAAGTGATAACACTGAAACACATTATCTAACACCACTAAAATAACACAGTCAATGTGTATGATGATTCTCAAATAAATACAGAAAATAAAACATGTAGATATATATAAATTTTGAAGAAAAAAAGCAAGCAACAAAGCATCGGTACCCTTAAACTTTAGATCCCTGGTGATATAAAGACAATATTCAATATTTTCACATAGTTCTATGTTCTAACAAAGTACAGTCTTGTTCCCTCAAAGACCTTAAGAATGTAAAATATACAAAAAAATGTATATATATCAAATCATATGTTAAGAGAATATTTGGACAGTGTTCATTAATTATAAAGAGACCAGTCTATAATATAACAAGAGCTGTCCGTAAGACAACGCGCTCGACTTTTTTATTGCTTGCCAATAAAAAAAGTTTTTGCAGTAAAAGGCAATACAAGAATCTCTGTATTTTTAAAGTGAACAATGGCCATGAGCATTAAGATATTTAGTGAAGAATTATTTTACTGAATTGTGTGATACCCTTGAACACTGCAGGTTCAGTGGATAGGAATGAATTTTTTTAGATTTTTTAAGTTTTTTAGTGCTTGCCTATAATACAAAACATTGACAGTTAAGGGCCATAATTCAAATAAAATCTTTGACAGAATTACCTTCTCCTGGACATGTTTGGGAATCATGATTGTAAACAAGTATTCCAACTTTCAAATTAATATCTCAAACAGTTCAGTCAAAAAAGTGGACTGGTACTAAAAACTTAACCAAGATTCTAAGTCGATAAAAGGCCTTAATTTTTAAAACAAATCCTTGACAGAGTTACCTTCTCTTGCGTACAGATGGGGGTAATGATGTGAAATAGCATTAAAAGTTTCAAAGCAATATCTCAAAGGGTTAAGGCAATAAGTGGATTTTACCCATATTCAATGTATTTTCTAAGTCAAAAAGGGGCATAATTCTGTCAAAAACCTTGACAGAGTTATGTCCTCTTGTCTGTTGATGAAGGTCGTGATGGTAAACAAGTATGGTCAGTTTCAAAGCAATACCTCCAATGGTTTTTGAAATAAAGTGAGGTGGTACAAAAAAACTTAACCAAGCTCAATACACTTTCTAAGTCAAAAAAGGGCCATAATTCTGTCAAAAACCTTGACAGAGTTATGTACTCTTGTCTGTAGATGGAGGTTATGATGGTGAACAAGTATGGTAAGTTTCAAAGCCATACTTGTAATACTTCTGAAATAAAGTGGGGTGGTACGAAAAACTTAACCAAGGTGTGACGCCGACGCCGACGCCGGGGCGAGTAGGATAGCTCCCCTTTTCATAGAAAAGTCGAGCTAAAAACGTCAGTCAATAACAATATTATAAGATGCTGTCACTATAGTCTGGACAAATTCATTTGAAAATATATTATCTTTAATTTATCACATTGTGAAATAAACTTTGGCAATAATGGTAGAGAGAAAATATAGAAGAAAAAAAAACACAACAAAATTACCCTACAATCAAAATGAAAAACAATAAAAATATTATGCCAAAGAAATTACTTTTGGATTTTATCAGAAATTTATGTCACTGATAAATAAAATAAAATACATTGTATTAGTGAACAATAAATGTTCTTCTGTTGTTTTTTTACAAGAAAAACAAAAGATGAATAAAATCTGCAGACAACTTTGTAGCGAAAATAAAATTTATGTCACATACTATCATACAGATGTTAAATTCTGTTTATATCCTACACAAACATTGAAACTGGCCTTTTATTTTACCATTTTCTACCTAAAATCAAAAATTAAATTACAAACAATCTCAAATTACCCCAAAGAAGTACTTCAAGTTAATTTACACATAAAATGGAGATCTACAGATCAGTAATATCAACAAATTGCTCAAAATACATTATTATTCTTTTGTGTTTTATTCTAAAAAATAATTTGGTGTGATGGAAGGTAGAAAAAAAAAATAAACAGCAAAAATGAAAAAAAAATAACAACATAACAACTCAAATATTTTTAACACCAAAATACAACAAGATGGAAAAAACATAAATGGTTAAATACATGTACAAGAAGATGATTTTTGCAAAAATGAAAGAAAAAGAAAGAAAAAACTTTCACCAGTATGTATCAACATGATACAACACTCAATATTAACTTTGGCCCTTCAACATCCTGCTTTAAAAATAACAAACAAATATAAAATACATTTAGATAGATACAGCTTCTTCTACCATCTGAACAAGAGCGATCAGTAATCACATGTGTCGCCTCATGATGGCCAATTTCATGTTGGGACAAATTTTGTGACAGACGGACAGACAGACGGACAGTGCACAACTAGACTAACCACTTTGTACTGATCATTCCTGTAAAGTTTGGATAAAATTGCACCAGTAGTTTATGAGGAGTAGTCCGGACAAGCTTTTGCGTATCTGGCAACACACAGAAAAAAACACCTTTTTATCAAAGGGCCATAACTCGGCCAAAAATCATTCAACCGGAAAACCCGTGCAATATGCGCAAGGACTTTAGCTACAGATCAATCCTGTAAAGTTTCATTGAAATTGCATAAGTGGTATAAGAGAAGTAGTCTGGACAAACTTTAAAAATAAAAATTTTTAAAGGGCCATAACTCAAACAAAAATCATTGAACCGGAAAATGCTGACAATATGCACAACTAGACTTGGTACTGATCATTTGTGTAAAGTTTGGATGAAATTGCACCAGTAGTTTATGAGGAGTAGTCCGGACAAGCTTTTGTGTATCTGGCAACACACAGAAAAAGAAACCTTTTTATCAAAGGGCCATAACTCGGCCAAAAATCATTCAACCGGAAAACCCGTGCAATATGCGCAAGGACTTGAGCTACAGATCAATCCTGTAAAGTTTCATTGAAATTGCATTAGTGGTATAAGAGAAGTAGTCCGGACAAACTTTAAAATTAAAAATTATTAAAGGGCCATAACTCTGACAAAAATCATTAAACCGGAAAATGCTGACAATATGCACAACTAGACTTGGTACTGATCATTCCTGTAAAGTTTGGATGAAATTGCACCAGTAGTTTATGAGGAGTAGTCCGGACAAGTTTTGTGACGGACGGACGGACAGACGGACAGACAGACAGACAGACAGACGGACAGACGGACAGACAGACGACGGAGAAGTGATCCCTATATGTCGCCACTACTCCGTAGAGGCGACACAAAAATTAGATAGTATTTATACATGTATATCTCTAAAAAAAAAAAAAATACCTGGTATAAAACATACCAAATAGTAAAGACTGAACAAATATCTTAATAAACAACCAGGAAAAAAACAACAACAAAAAATCCTAAGAGACCTTTGTAAAACGTTCAAAAATGTCTTTGCAATTTTCTTTTTCAAAATAAAATCCTTTTGAAAAGGTTTTCCGTTCACAACTAAATTAAATGAAAAGAATTTTTTCGTATAAAACAAAAATCAGTCTATTAGTATTTTCTTGCTGCATAATAAACCAGTCATGGAGAATCTCTTGTACGGAAAGGGCACCAGTCTATGAGTATACTCCCATTGGACTGATCTCATCTACTTCCTGGAAATCCTCATCCTGCCAGCTAATGTTCTGGGCTGTCATGAGAGCTTTCATCATACCCTCGAGGTTGTTTAACTGAGCTTTCATCTCCTTGTTGTTGTAACGCATCTTGTTAATGGTAGCTTGTAACTTCTCCTGGCTCTCCTTTACTACCTCTAACTCATCCTGTAACATGATATATAAATTTGAGCCGCGTCTTGACAAAACCAACGTAATGTGTTTGCAACCAGCATGGATCCAGACCAGCCTGCGCATCCGCGCAATCTTATCAGGATCCATGCTGTTCGCTATCAGTTTCTCTACTTGTAATAGGGTTTGTAAGCGAACAACATGGAATCTGATCAGACTGCGCGGATGCGCAGGCTGGTCTGGATCCATGCTGGTCGCAAAGCCATTATGTTGGTTTTGTCGTGACACGGCTCAAATAAGAATGAAAATTTTCTGTGACAATAATTCTTCCTCTATCATACTAAAGTTTATGAGGTGAAAACCATACAGAGAAATCATGATAACTTTAATGACATTATTTTTTGATATATATAAAGACAAAGATACCATCATTGTTTATGAATAAAATAGTCATGTTAAACCTATACCAAATGAATTTGAATAATTGAGCTTTTCCTACTTTGTCTATTTCTCAAGAAATGTTTTAAAAAAGGCCAACATATAGTGACAGAAAGAGTCTGGTGTAACTGTATGCAAACAATGCCTAATAGGCCTCTATACAGGTAGCTTATGTAAATCATAAAAGCTGCAAGTATTCCTACAGTCAATTAAAGTTACAAACTTCTACATTTTATTTCAATTCTTCGGAAAATTGACCTCATTAGTCAATGTAAATATGAAGTGAAATGAAATAGATTTTTGCAACAAGAGTAAATTTATGTTTACCAGTTCAGGATTGAGTGCTTTATGGATGGTCTGTGCTGTAAGACCGTAACTCTCTAGTCCAAATACACTGCTGAACAGTTTGCTGATGCCTTGGTTAGGTTTCATAGAGTCCTTTCTGACGACCAATCTTCTACGGAAAAAGTCTGGTACAATACGCTCCACATCTAAAGCAAGCTCCACCTAAACAGACATGTGATATATATACACCCTTCAATAACATCCACATGTTTTCGTGTGCACAGCATGCATTATGGTAAGTAATAAAAGTATCATTATATAAAAATTCATGATATCCACAATTTCAAAGTGCTTTGGTAATATCTTGCAGATGAATTGAGAAGTCATAGATCCTTAAAGTAATGATAATCTCTCCACATCTCATGATGACAAGATACATATAAGTTAATAGTTTTGACAGGAAAATATTTATTACAAACTTTAGAAATTATTCAGACACCTTGCTCACTAATTATCAATTTATTTTACTATGCTGTAGTGTTTAACAGTGATTTGATGACACTTTGATTACCTGCATAGCTTTTCTAGTCAGTTCTGCCTGTTCTTGTACTTCCTTAATATTGTCTACAGCCAAACCAACCTATAGTGCACAATAAAAACACTTTCTTATGTCACTGTTATAATCAATTTGACATCTGGCAAGTATGTTATTATTTTATTTAGTAATGAAGCTACACAAATTAAATATGCTATTTATCACATATCCAAAATAAGAACTGTTTACAGTAAAAATCATTAACTTTTTCATTGACATGTCTTTAGTGTAACGCTAACATTTAGCACAAATGACTTAACATCAAAATATATGTACAGCCATGCAATACCGGTTTTACAGGGTTGCAAAAGCAGTATGGGAATTAATGATAAAACCAGTTCTGTTACTGCCGACAGCTAAATTTTAACATTTTGATATAAATTTTCTTACACTGGATGGATTCTAAGGATTCTAAACTAAAGTAAGATAAGTCTGTTATATAAATTTAGCAAAGCAAGAACCACATATATAAATGTATACAAATATTTTTTAAACTTACGAGCAAGTTCATTATAATGATGGACATGACCACCATGAACACACAGAAGAGAATATACCCGAGAACCTCATATTCAACCACTCCATCAGTATATATACCGTCATACTCAAACTCTCCTATCATCATTACTGTTGTCTTTATAAGAGACTGCCAAACAGTAGAAAATGATTCCTGTAATATAAACATTGTTTATTAGACATGAGTAAAAAATTATAAGGGGAACATTTTAATACACTCGAAACCATGAAAAAAATAGTTTTTTGTGAAATCTAATGAATTAAAAAGAATTCTTTGACAAAGATGGACATATGAACAAATTTCATATCAACCTAATACAGTCGAGACTGCCTAAGCGACCCCTTGAAATCAACAACTGTGTTATCCTACTTTGTTTCAGTCCTCTTTTTTTTTATTTCATTTTATGGCTGTATGAATTCTAGGGGAAATGTTGATATTAACATTTTTTATTTAGAGAGAAAAACTTCAGATCCATTTTATTTTATTGATTATAAATGCATCAAATTCAATTTTAAATTTTGTACCTTAATTATTTAACATAATGATAAAAGTACAATTTCTTTTTCAATGATATATTACCAAATTTATAATTTAAGTTTTACAGGCATTATTATTTGCATCAAATGCTTAAAATGTTTAATTGCAATTTGTTTAATATTACTTCTTCATACAGCTTTGTATGTAATTCATAATGGTAGAACAGATGGTTTGAAAAATTTAAAGTAAAAACAAAGACAATTTTTACCTGATTCTGTAAGAGAGAGTAAAATGCAAGAGCAAAAGCAATAATGAACAGCATGAAGACGATGAAGAACTGGAAGAATGTCTTCAGGATATCCTTGAACATCACCACATAGATACCAAACCTGGGGAACTTTTGGGCAAACAACACAAGGTTGATCCATGACAGGAATATTGCAACAGTTCCTACATTCCACTGCCAGCGCTAAAATAACAAATAAATCATAACTTTAAGTGAGACGTTGAGAAAATTACAGTAAGAATCAATGGATTGACTAAATTTATAAATTCACTTAAAGTTATTAAAGCATAGAAAACTGAAAAATTAAATATTGACTGCATATTCAAGTATAAATGTATTATATTTTAAACATAATTATTTGAGATTGAATAAAGAATAAGTTCTCCCGCCTAATAACAATGTATTAATCCATATCCTGAAACTAGTCAATACTTGTGTTACACTAGTACAGGGAAACATGGTCATGACTTGAGTAAGGCTCAAAGACAAGACTCCTGGCCAAGAGAAAGACACCTTTCCCACCATTAACATTAACCTCTACTTATCTATCGAAACACACAACCTTGTTTAAAGCATTAAACCTTGATCAAAATTGTTATGTTAATAATCTGACTAAAATAAAAAACAATTAGTAACAAAAGTAAGAATTAAAGTGTATAACATAACTTACAGTTCTAAACCCTGTAGATTTTTGACAATCTTCAAAATCCAGAACAAACAGAATGGATGTAACATAAACAGTCCATTCTATCAGATTCTCCCAACTCAGATAGTTCAGCTTGGCTTGGTAAAGTTGTATCAACTAAACAAGAAAATAGTTCATACATTATTTCAATGATACAAGACAGACATAGTTAAAGTATTCTGTCATATTATAACAACAAAATTCTTTACAAAACTATATATTTTTATGTAATAAATAACAAAGATAGTATTTTTTATGGACTTTCACATAATAATGGTAGTATTTTAATATCAACAATTTAATTCAACACTTTATACAGAGTTATATGTAAGTATAATACATTCTTCTTCTAATTACTTTGGACTAAGGTAACACTTCTTATATAGATTATACTTTTCGATAAATCACTTAATTTGTACACTTGACACCATTTCTAATCATAGGAACAACTTTTAAGTTTTCAAATTAAATGTTAAGCTGGAAGTGTGCTGATTTAAAGCATCAAATATAAAATATACTAGTAAGAGTAAGATAATATCATAGTCCCATATGATTACCTCTCTCAGTAAGTTCCATGCCGCTAGTATAATGATGGCATATTTTCCTATCTTTGCAAATAACGGCTGGTCATAGCCCCTACTTTTTAATTCAGAACACGACTCTCTGCTGGAAAGACAAAACAAATAAGCTGACAGGATGTATATAAAATAGAAGTCATTTACAAGGTAACCTGCACCACAGGCACGTTAGGTGTGTATCAAACTTTAGACCACCATCCAAATTAAGGAAACACCTTAAAGACATGTGTGATAAATGCAACTTGGAATATCATTTTTTCCAAACTACCTCAAATAGATTGTTTATGGTTTGTTTGATAAGTGCTGGAGTTTGTATTGTATTGTTTGTATGGTTTTAAAGGAGTCTATTTGTCTCATCTAAAACAGTCTCTCATTAATGTTTTGAGCTACTTTAATGAGATTGTTTAAACTTGTATTAGAGGTACCTGTAACTGTGAGACAGCAAGTTGATATATCTGAGAAATAATGCACACTGGTACATTTGCATATATTATTCACAATATAACATGGAATACTACTAATATATATTCTTTTCTTATGAGTTTAAACTTTTAATTGTCAATCAAGATGGAAAAAGATGTCCCTCCTAGGAGCATTTTGGCATTGGCAGACATTTAAGTAGAAACATCAATGTAATACAAGATATCTGGGCATCAAACTGGTGCAGTGTTAGGAAAATAACACATAGTCACCAACCCTCAGCTACCAGTAACAATAATAGTGAATCTTCCACTTAAGTAAATCCTTGGTCTGCTGGCTACACCTGATTCTACCTGTGTGACCACAGCAGATCAAGATCACACAGATAATCTGTGCAGTCAAATATCTGCAGTATGAACTTTATTTTGAACAAATGATAAATGGTTTCCTCCAATTTGAAGGATTGACAAGTATATTTAAGATATTTAGCATGGTAACTTAAGGGTTACTGAAACTACAGATTGTAAAGTAAATGAAACTTACATCATATAGGGGGCATCAGTAGACACAATGAAACCAGTAAGGAAAGTCAAGAACACAGCATAAATCAGAAAGTTCACATAGTAGAATGTACGACCAAATTTTGTCCATTTATATCTCAACAGTGCTGTAACTAGAGGGTGGGCCAGAAGATCTTCTCTCTTTGACGTCACCTACAAGAAAAAAATCAATAATTCTTCATCTTCAAATTTCCTGCTTGAGAATCTAACCAAGATTATTATCTATATACACTCTATATTTTTTACCTAGTATAAGAAGGACTTAAGTTTGAAAGTTTGATTGATATTATTTCAAGGTGAATTTCAAGGTCAGGTTTTTCACACAATGATCTAAGTTGATTCTTAAACTAACAAATATACCTGAAATGACCAACTACAATTCATGTATATATTAAACCAAAATATGCCATTTTTATTAATTTAACTCATAGCCAAGGCAACATACACTGAGGTTGTATCTAATAGAATTTCATTTTGTTAAATTCAATGATATCATACCATTATCATGAGTGGATGATTCTTCTTGAAAGTTCCAGAGTCGGTGGTGTATGGACGCGCATACTTTGTCAGGTGGTCTTCATCATCATACAAGCTTCCTGTATTAATTAACATATCACTCTGAATTGAAACACATTCCTGTTTAGATACTTTAAAACTTAATTTACACACAATTCTAATGATAAAGATAACTATAAGGATACATGGATAATGTACCAGTGCAACACCTTTTTTCTGTTATATAAACTTCTCAAAAAAGAATTCAATAAAATCAGCATTTAAGAGTGAAATGTTAAGAAATTTGCAAACAAAAGACATGTACATTGACCTTTCTAAATAAAGCTATTGAAGCAAGTTCTTTCTGACTCAGAGTGCATTAATACTCAAGAACATTAAGTACTAAGACTGAAATATCCATAATTTCAAAAATGCTAAACTTCAAAATTATTGTAACAATAAAAGTGACATAGGTAAGACAATACCTGTAGAAGATCCAGAGTCACTACTACCTCTATCACTCCAGTTAAGTACAGAGTATAGATCATCTAGAAACTCATAGTTAAAGGTAATCTTGTAATTATAACTCTCTAAACTCTCCTTGTTATGCTGCATACATCGGTTAAACACTTCCTCCGCAACATCTACAAATATACATTTAAAATTTAATGTCAATTAACTTACAATCATAAAACCCATCACCTCTTAGTTAGAATGAATTAAAAAATGTTCCTAAATAATATTTTTCTTTTTCGTCCCTCAATTTTTGGTACTTTTGGTTTTGTTGTCTTATTATATAATGATTCAGCATAATTGAAATAGCAGATGGCATTTAAACAAGCTGGAACATTAACAGATCACCTACATGCAATAATTCCAGGATTAAATGGCACCTTGATAGAATCATAGACCTGTGACTATTCGTCACTTAACATTGTAAATAATGAGAATGACAATTAACACTGTTTTTGTTTTATGTTTTTTTTATTGCACTACAAAATGAAATTCAGCAGAGTCTGCATAAATCTCAATTAGTACCATACTTAAAGAAAATCAGAGAGTATAATAACATTACCTGGCATCTTTCTGATAAGTTTCCTCATTGGTGTATCATGTCTGTTTGTGTTTAGATCAAGGGTATGATTTCTCAGAGCTTCCTGCCAGTAGTTAGACTTGATGATACATAGAGCTACATTCCTGTTTGTTAAAATATTAAACATGATTTCTAAATGTGTAAAACAAAAAAAAACTGTTATAAACTGTAATGAAAAGACATATATGTCCAAAATTTAAATACATAGATATGTTCTGTTCTAAATAATACATCATATTCTTACAATAACATTGTTTAGATACATATTTTGTTAAGTGGTTGTTAAAAACAGGAAATGATTAATCGATTATCAAGGTAAGAAATTTGTGGAGTTCAGGGTGAACTGTGTTTTTGTAACCTTTTCAGTGGTTTTATATCTTTTGCCTAAATTAATCATTGTGCTTACTGTATATGCCAGACTCGCATGCTGTTTTATTAAACCAAGTCATTTCCTTGTTTATTCCTATCCATATTGTGCAAGTTGATATTATGCTTGCTTATTTTACAGTAAATAATCTGTTTGTAAACTAAACTTTTGTAATCTAGGCTTTTTGGAGTTACACGCTTAATTTGTTCAGTAGTTTCGTACTCAAATTTGTTCGTTACAGATTTGTCTTTTTGTGAATTTATGATGTAATGGTTAACTTACTTTAGTGACAAGTTGTTTTTAAGTTTCTATTCATCTTCCACTTTTAACTTGACTTTAGTTTTATTTGAAAGAAGATCTTTTATCACACTACATACACGTTTATATTAAGTAAAAGTTGAAGATTGTGCTTACTAAAGAAATCTTTATCACATATATTTTCCTTGTACTTATTAGGGTAAATTGTATTTTACAGTGATGGGTAGTGAATAATGAATGCAGAAATGTTGTAACGTCACCCTTGAGTGTTCACGACGTAGGTTTATCAAACATTTATATATATGTATCTTTTTGTCTACTAGTCATTGTTAATCTGCCATATATTGTTTTTACTAGTCAGTATTATATCTTAAATCATTTATTAAGATTTGTCATTGTTTCATTTTAACTACTTTAATATGTTCATGAGTAGATTGTAACTGCAAATTATTAAAGCATCTATAACTGCAGGATTTTGGATTACTTCCCTTTGTTGGTTATTAAAGCAACTTGGTCAACATTAGGTTATAATCCAATTATGATGTTGTTTTTATGTAAACGTATGTATTGTTATTCTGTAAATTTGAATATGTGTTTTTTATTATATGTTTCAGTTCTTACGATAAATGAGATAAAGCAAATTTTTGTTGTCGTTATCATTCCACCGGCTAAGGGCGGAAAAAAATTCAAAACAAAGTTAACTTATCTATTCCTATATATCAACTGACAACACAGGATTCATAATGTACTAGTTAATACTTAATTCAGGTAAATTTATCTACTCTTTTACTTGATTGGATTTTGAGTCATACTATAACTACTCTATATCTTATATAACATTGCTTCTTGTTCCTAGTAAATATGAAGATATTTATAAAAACAGTTGCTTACTCTGAATAGCAAAAATCTCATTTGTTTATGACTGCAATATCTGAGTAAATACTCATCAAATTCAAAATGTGAATATATAACCTGACTATCATAGCTTTTATAACCTTATCAATTATTCTAACTCTGACATAACTTACGCATTATTGTTGTCAATGGAGAGGTCAAGACAGTTGTTACCATCTGAGTCTCTCTGTTCCACGTCCGCGTCCCAGTCTATCAATAGTTCAACTACATCAACATGACCATATTTACATGCCAAGTGGAGAGGAGTTGTCTACAAATGGTTTAAAATCTTACTATGAATTTATACTACAGAACAAACATGACATATTAAATAATTTACCCCAAAATGCTCTTATAACCAAAGGGCAGAAACTGAACAAAAATATGACTACTATAGAAATAAGATTTATCTCTATGTTCTTAAAATGATAGTATGAAATCAGATTTCAAAGACAAAATCTAAAATTTGAATTACCTCCCTCTAACTGTAATTCTACATCTTTTTAAGATTTTTATCACACAATTAATGTTTAATGTTGTGCATCATTATCTAAACATTATTACAAATATATCTAATAAATGACATCAGTTTTTAATTGGAATACCTTTGCTTTGTCCATAGGATCTATAGGAGAGTCTGCCTCTAGTAAAACTTTAGCTGTTTTCATCCAACCTTTAGCTGCAGCACAATCAAGTGGTGTCCACAAGCTCACATTCCTGTATCACACAAAATATCTTACTCCTATTTAACTCACATTAACAAACTTGTATTGAAACCATTTAAATAGTATCTAATAACTCCTTATTCCCCTAACCTCTAGAGTGCTAGCAAAAGTATTGTTTTGTTTATGTCAATAACAAAAATTTAGGCCAGTGTTTTCAAAGTCTATCAAAAAGCTTTATACCATTGACTATTTACGTAAGTAAATTATATTGAAATTCCTCAATCTCAAAAGAGAAGTTTCATGTGATGGAGGACAGATCTATTGAACATATTCATCAATATAAAAGTTAAATATTTGAAAGACTTTTACTTGTCAACATGAACACATAACACCCTTCATCATTTGTAAACCTTTACAGAATTACACTTCAAATAAAGTGGTATATCAATCAAAAAGCCATATATTTGGTTTTGCAGTGAGAGTTGGAGTAATAATCAACCTTTTGTTTTATCAGATTGAGACCATGGCCTAGTGAATGTTATAAACTGGTGGTAAAAAAATAACATAACACCATATGAGCCACGTCACGACAAAACCAACAAACCCATTATGTTGGTTTTGTCATGACACGGCTCATATAAAATTACATACCTGGCAGCAACATCAGCTCCAAACTCTATGAGTACCTCAGCAACTTTAGCATGACCAGCTAATGCAGCAAGATGGAGTGCTGTGTTGGAGTTTTCATCCTCATCATTTACAGCATTCTTATCCTGGGTAACAAGTTCCCGTACAGTGCTGACAAAAACAACCATACAAAAAGTTGATTTTGTTTTTAAAAATTTTTTTAAAAATGTTAAGATAGAAAATTTGGGATAAAAAATTAGAAAAGTTAAAAAATTATTTTTTTAGTTTGGGTTTGTATTTGGGTTAGAGTTAAAAAATTTTAAGGGTTTTAAAATTTTTCAAAAAATTTAAAAAATTTTAAAAAAAATTTTTTTTATTATTAAAATCAAATTTAAATGATTTTAAAAGGTTAAAAAAAAATTTTGGGTTTTGGTTACTTGATGTAAATTTTGTTTTTGTATTTTTATAATATATTTTTAAATTTTTAAATATTTTTATTATATATATAATATATTATAAAATTATTATTTTTTTAAAATATAAAAATTAAAAATAATAAATCTTAATTCTTTTTTGGGCATAAACAGGAATTTAAAGGATAAAAAGGGTGTAGATTTTAATTACATACTTGGAGGTTCTTTTTTGTTCTACCAAACTTGGCAGCAAGATGTAGAGGTGTTTGTTCCTCCTCATTCTTACTCTCCATATCTGCTCCATTCTTTAACAAACACTGAAATATACATCATACAATATGCTCAAGTAACTCCTTGATATATACTTGTTATTCTCTGGTGTTTTTTTTTTAAATACATGTTTCAAAATGTGTTTTTAAAGAGCAGAATCCTCACGGTCCAAACAAGATGCCTGCAAACTGCATGTGTAGCTCTATCATTAACCTTGAAGTGTGATCATGCCACTCATACCATATAACATAGACCATAGGCATGATTTATATCTTAATCAATAAACACACAAGATTTCATGAAAAGTTAGTCGAAAATTTGCCAATATGCGACATTTACAGTCAAGAACCAATACAGCAACAATAGTATTTTTACTACAAATACAAGGTACACCAAGTTAATTTGAAAAAAATGTCCCAACAAAAATTAGTTAAAATAAAAAATTTTAGAATAAAAAAATAAAAATTTCACTAAAGGAAAAATTTTTAAAATTTAATGAATAAAATCTTTTTTACCCTTTTAACATTTTAAAAAATCCCTTCATTGCAGAAAATTATTTAAGGGTCTTTGTCGTATTGTCACTACTTTTTACCAGGCTGGGCCCCCAAGATTTCCATTTTTAAGAAAAGTCTGAAATTTTTAAACACCAAATGAATAAATAAACATTTTCGAGAAAGAAAAAAACAACAGACATTTTAATTTAAAATATTAACAAAACTTTTACAAGTATTTCATAATTTTTAAAAAAGTAGAATTTCAGATGGCCCTCCATGCCTTATTTCAAGCAAAACCTATAACATCCAATCTACATGTACCTACACTTGGTGGAATTATAAGAACTTTGTATACCTTATACATAATCTGCATGAAAATTGAAAATTATAATACTCATTAAAAACTGAAATTATTTTATCATGTTTTTAAGGTGATAAAAATTGAACAAATTTACTTCTGGATCATTCTATTCCTTGTTAAACATTTACCTCTAAAGCATTAAGCTGATTTTCTTCTGCTGCCAGGAATATTGCTGTCTTGTCATTCTTGTCCACTGCTGCAATATCAGCCTCTTTCTGGATAAGAAGATCTACAGTGGGGGCACGGCCATACACACTGGCCAATAAGAGTGGAGTATAGTTCTCCTCATCTCTCCTCTCAATGTCTGCCTCTCTGTAAATATACATGTCCATATATATTTGCTAGTAATGTATTCAATGTATTCAATGAATTATCATTATAAATCTTTTACTTGGTTGAAAAACGCCAAGAAGAAAAACATTGATTACTAAGTTCAGCTGGCACATCCATGCCATCTTATCATGTCTGAACTGTTCACTATTCAGCCAGTGTATTTTCAAATTTAAATAAAAAAAAAAAAATCCATAAAATGATGAATTGTTTTGTCCACATTGAAATATGGACAAGTCCATTTAAAGCTACATTTAATAAATTTCATAAAAACAGAAATAGCGACATTTCATTTATAATTTGGGTTTCATATCAACTCTAGATCTTATAAGGATACAAATGTGCAACCTCACTGTGGCGAAATCAGATGTACATTTTTTGTTTGCATGAGAAATTTCGCCTTTAAATCATCCGTAAATCAATATTAAATCAACAAACATGACTATAAGTAGCATTCCTAATTTAACGGTATATTTCCGCATTGTAACAGATGTTTTCATATAAATTTTATCTTTTTTATGAGATGATTACTTTTTTCTGAACCCCAGGCCTATTGCACCTTGAGACTAAAACAGTTAAAGTGTGTTTGCACAAGAAAATCCCATATTTGCTGTGTTCCGAATAGCAACTATAACACTGTGACATAGCGCATACACAAGCTGATTATAGTCATCATTTGCATGTTAAAATTCGTATACAAACTTTAGTATTACGGTGGGTTTTTCCATTTATTGTCCTAATTTATGAACAATATTTGATGAGATTTACAACAATACTGTTAAAAGGGTTAATGAAACTATAGATTGCTTGGTTTGTAGGCCGGCGGCTAAACATTTTTAAATATTTATTTAATGTGGCTTTAAAATATTTAGTTTTGTAACAGTACGTCAAGATTTCTTTGGGTCTATAGCCTCTTATTCAGTTTTTTATTACCTGGTGGCTATATTACTTAATCACTAACACTACAAAGTCTTAAACCAGAATGATTTCAGCTTGGTCTGGTAAATACTGCTCAAAGATCACTCCATTTGCATTTTACCTATTTTATGCAAAGGTTAAGGGGGGAGGGAGGTGTTCTATGTACAACTAAATTTGACACTGGTGATCATTGTTTTTCAGACAGAAACCATTTTAGCTCAGACCAAAACAATTTTAGTTTCTCCAACAGTACCACCTAAAATCAATTACAATGTACTTTTAAAATCAGCAAAATTTGGCAAGAGAGTTAGGAGGTAATGTTATCTTAGGCAAAGATAGTTCACAATATCTCAAGAAAGCAACAAGTTCCTGTTAAGGCACACAATTATTTTTTGCATCAATAACTATTTAATGACACATCATCCTTTACTATAATACATGTACAGGTATATCATTTAATTTATATTACTCATTGATTTTCTCAACATGTGTATCTGATAAAATAATGAAAAGCTGTCACACTATTAGAATATGAAATTAACAAATAACATATTTTAATGGCTAATAAAAGAAAGTTGACAACTATAATTCAGATGCAATATTTGTCAGAATTTATGAAATCCATGTAATTTCAAGAATCAAGATATAATGATTCCTTCATTACTTATTTTTAAAAACTTATATCTACTAATAATAAAATAACAATAATGTATACATGTCTATTAAAAGCAAAAGATAATAACAATTTTAAACAATATACCACATAAACTCAAAACATTCTTCAAAATGATGAAAACATTTAGTTAAAATATGAATTTCTTGGGAATGGGAAAACAAGCATTAAGTTTAAACTTCAACCATTAACCTGCAACAAATCTAAATTAACGATATTTCAATATCAATATGGAAACATTGAAGAATCAACAATAAAGAGCTTGGTCAGTCTGTCAGTTTGCTCCATCAATTAAACTTACAATAATTTCATTTAAATATTTCAATTAACTTACATGTACACAATCATTGATGAATTACTATGCTGCATTAACAAACCAGACTTTAAATAACATCAAAATACTCATTGACTATGCAGAAACACTATGTGTAAAAATTAATGTTAATTTCATGGGACAGGGAAAGGGGGGTCCTTGGTTTAAACTTAAAAGATGCATAAACATTGTTTACAAATATGGTGACTCTAAAACTGAACTGAGTGGACAGGGGCATGGGGATAATGGTAGGGGGTGACTCAGCTAGATAGCTTCCTCATATGAACAAATTTTATTTTTCTGCCAAATGTTGAAGGTAATGTCATAGAAACCCATAACAATCAGTATTTATCACTTACAATATAAACATACATGAACTCCGAACCTCTCCCCGCTATAATGAAATTTTTCCAGTTTTGCTTTTTACTATAGAAAATTTGAACTTATTTCTAGCTTGGCTCTTATATTATTATAATTATGAAGAATAAATGCCATTCAACTGATTATTATAAAAAAAAGATTAATTATGAAGTATCAAGTCTAACATTTGAATGGCCTCCCTTTAAACAATGATAGTTCAATGTTTGCCAATTGCCTGATGATTTTATGTTATTACTTCTCAAGTTTTTGTGATAATACAATATAACCTGAAGGAAATGATTTATATTTCCTCCCCTTAACGCAGTACCAGATTAACTTCTGTTAAATTCAATAGTTTACCAATTAATGCAAAAAATTGACAAAATAGTCTATGTTTCATCAGACAAGACACTTTTGTTAGTTTTGAAAAGCACTTTACAACTGGTGGGGAAGTGGAATATTTTTTGGTTCCTTCATTTACATGAAATAATCTTATTTGTGAAGGAAGGCCAATTATAAATGAGTTATTACCTGTCTACAAGAAACTCCACCACTTGTACATGGTTATACTGAGCTGCCTTATGTAGGGGCGTGGCCTGCTCGTTGTTGAGAGCATCAATACGAGCATTATGCTCAATAAGCAGACGGACAACTCTAAGGTCTCCATTCACAGCCGCCAGATGTAGAGGGTACATGTAGATATTGTTCGGTGTGTTCACATCCGCCCCTGTAACAAAAATGTTTTCAGTTAAATATTTTTTCAAAAAAGTGTATTTTATTTCATGAAATACTTACCTGACATTACATTTAGGATTTCATTTCGTCCTACCTTTTGAACTCGCTTAACCGGAAGTGTGCATTTGTTTACATCCATAATGCATTGAAACAAATAACTTCCTGAAGTTTTAACCAACCAGAACACACTTCCGGTATTCCCACGTGAAATCAGTTTTCGTTTTTTGCGCCTACCGTTTAGATGTACTTTTTGAGCTCGTTTACTAGTTTTATTTTTTATTTTACGGTGGTTATTGTTGTGTGTTGGATTATGGCTCAAGAAGCAGTGAATTGCGTCTTGGAGCGCGAAGAAGGAGAGATTTCTGATAATTTTTCGCCAGGCCATGTGACCGATAATGGCGAGTCATCAATGTTTCGGGCTAAATTGCCGCATAAGAAACAGTCGGATCACGGTAAAGAAAAACAGAAACGTAGATCCAAATATGACATTTTAGAGGAAAAATTTAATCAGAAATTGGAATCTATTGATGACAAGTTTGATAAATTATTCAGTCTGTTTCAATCTTCGAATATTCGGGATACTTCGCCATGTACCGATGTGCAAGAAGATGAGACTCGTAACGTAAATTCGCAACAAGATGTTTTATCTTTATGCGGGGATAGTACTTTAGGTTCCGACACAGATTCGGATAGTGACAGAGATTTTCACAGAACACGTGTTCAGAATTCTGTTAGAAAAGTTTCGGATTCAGAAAATCTCAGTGAGCATACTAAATTGGGACTGTATGAAATTTTTGGTGAGGATGCCAAAGTTTTATCAGAGAAGGAAGATGTTGGTATTACCTTAGACCAGTCTCAAAAAGATGTCTTGTATAACAGTTACAGGTGTAGTACTCCTTTATTTTTGACTTCATACAATGAAAATGTTCTTGATATGTTTCCTGTTAAAAGTGACACTGAACAATTTTTACAAGTGCCGCCAGTGGATCCTTTGATAGAAAGTTGTTTGATTAAACGACATGGTCCCAAAGCAGCATTTTCTAGCTCTAAGATAAGAGGTAAAGGTTTATACTCGCAACCTTATAAGACTATTGAAAGACTTGCATATAAAGGTTCTCATGCCCGCTAGATTAGGTATTGTTATTCAGCTGTATTTACAACAAAGCCTTGGTGATTTACTTAGTTTTGTTCAGTCTGACAGTTTTGATAAGGATACTGCAGAAAAGCAGATTAAGGATGTGTTCTCTATGGCCACTAAGGGTTTAGACCAGCTAGGAAGAGCAGGTGCTTTTCATCATATTATAAGACGTCATGTTGCTATGTCTGATACAGCTTTGTATGAATTACCAGATTCACAAAAATTCCTCAGTTTACCTTTGACAAATGACGGTTTGTTTGGTACAGAACTTGAAAATTTATTAAAAATCAAGGAAAGAACAGAAAAAACAGGTGGATGATTTGGTACCTGATGTTAAGAAGAGGGAGTTTCTTAAGAGGAAGCCTGTCTCTTCTACGACTGTTCAAGACACATCAAAGCGGCCTTGTTTTTCGCAAAATAGATCTGTTTCCTCTGATAATTTTCGGATCCCCAAGGTTCCAAGACCTTCAACCTCAGGTTACAATAAGCAGGGAAGTGACAGAAAAGGCAACTTCAGTAGACCTAGTGCAACTGAGTCCTTTCCACCAAGGAACTTTGGCCGAGGACGTGGTAAAACAGATCGCAAATGACAAGGTAAGCATTATAGCAAAGTGGCCGCAGATACCTGTTGGGGGCAGACTAAAACACTTCCTGCCTGCTTGGGAAAATATAACTCGAGATCAGTGGGTTTTAGATTTAATAAGAAACGGTTACAAGCTAGAGTTTATTCAAAAACCACCTTTTTCAGGTATATTAGAAACCAAGGTCAATCAAAAAGAACATTCTTTAATTCATACAGAAATTCAAAATCTTTTAGACAAAATGTCATCGAAATAGTTCCAAAAACTCAAACACATCACGGTTTTTACAGTACGTTATTCCTCGTCCCGAAAAAGAACGGAGAGTTACGTCCTGTCATAAACTTAAAACCCCTGAACAGGTATCTGCAGAAAAAACATTTCAAAATGGACAACATGAGGAAAGTGTTAAATTTAGTTCGAAAAGGAGATTGGTCCATAAATCTCAACCTAAAAGATGCATATTTTCACATAGAGATTTTCAAGGGCTATCGTCAGTTTCTTTGTTTTTGTTTCCAGTCAGTTGTGTATCAATTCAGAGCACTGTGTTTCGGTCCGACTTTGGCACCTCGAGTTTTTTTTGCAAAGTAATTGCTGTAGTAGCATCTCATCTACGCAAACAAAGTATTCGTCTTGCAACTTACTTAGACGATTGGCTTGTTCTAAACAGTCTAAGAAACACAACTTTTTAAAAAATCGAACAGTCCTCTTAAATCTCCTTTTCGAACTAGGTTTCATGGTGAACAAGAAAAAATCGTATTTGTTACCCCTTCAAACAGTAACATACATAGGGGGTCTTTTCATGTTGAAAAAAGGGATAGTTTTATCAACAAAAGAAAGGATAGTCAATTTACAGAAGGCAAGCAAGACAAATTTTACAGGGTCATTGCACAGCCAGACATTATCTTGTTTTGTTAGGCATGATAGCATCTTGCATAGATCTGATTCCCAATGCACGGTTGTTCATGAGGCCTATCCAGCTTCATCTGTTACAAAACTGGAGTCCTTCGAGAATGTCCCTTTCATGCAAGATCCAATGTACACCTTCTTTGACTCCTCATTTGCATTGGTGGTTACAGGAAGTGAACATTCTGAAAAGGGTTGTTGTTTTCAATACAGCCATTCAAATGTTATACTGACCACAGATGCAAGCAGTTCATGGGGGCTGGGGTGGTCACATGAACAACCGTACTGTGCAAGGCCGTTGGTCTCAGATAGAACGTCTACAACACATCAATTGCCTGGAGATGGAGGCAATAATTCGTTCAGTCCGTCATTTTCTGCCCCTTCTAAAGAACAAGTCAGTTCTGATTCGAAACAGATTCGAGCACATGTGTTTCAATATATCAATCGCCAAGGGGGGACAAAATCAATAACACTTTGTCAAATGACTTGGAAGTTGTGGATGTTAGCTTTGAGCAACAAAATATTACTGAGGGGCAGCCCACATTTCAGGAAAATCAAACATATTAGCAGATCTTTTGAGCAGGAATCAGTGAGGGATACAGAGTGGTCTCTGAACAAAACAGTTGTGATGTCAATATTCAATCTTTGGGACATCCTCTGATGGATTTGTTCGCAACATACAAAAACAAAAAGACACAACTGTTTTGCTCATGGATTCCTCACCCTTCAAGCTTATGCCTTGGATGCCCTGTCAATTGCATGGCAGAACATGTTTGCTTATGCGTTCCCGCCTGTGCAGATTTTGCATCGTGTTCTGTCACACCTACAACAATTCAATTGCACTCTGATTCTAATAGCACCAAATTGGCCGAGACAACCTTGGTATCCAGTACTATTACAATTACTTGTAGCAAACCCTCTTTGTCTACCACTGCAGCCGGATTTAGTGTCCCAAGGGATGGGCAAGATTCTTCATCCAGATCTTCGAACACTAAAATCTGACTGCATGGCTCATATCGACCGATATTTCGAAACAGAGGGATTTTCAGAAAAGTCTAGGAAATTGCTTGCATCTTCCTGGAGAAGGGAACACAAAAAGACTATAGGTGTAAATTCAAATTGTTCTGTAATTGGTGCCGTGAACAACAAATTAATCCATATGCAGCATCTTTAAAGGACTGTGTAAATTTTCTTGCATACAAATTTCATCAAGGTACTGCATATAGAACTATTTCAGGGTATAGATCAATGTTTTCAGCTGTCCTTCCTTATGTAGACAAAGTTCCAATTGGGCAACATCCTCATGTTATTCGTTTACTTAGAGGTGTATTTAATGAAAGGCCACCAGTTAAAAAACTTGTACCTGAATGGGATCTTCTTTTTGTTTTAGGTGAAGAAGGCACCATATGAACCCCTTTGTAAAGCGTCTTTGAAGTTTTTAACATGGAAAACGTGTTTCCTGATAGCAGTTACATCATTTAGACGTTGTAGTGATCTTCAAGCTCTTAGGTTGGGGGAAAGTTTTGTTAATGTGCAGAAAAAAGGTATAACTTTTATTAGGCCAGGTTTGTCAAAGCAAGATCGGCCAAATCACAAGCCTACTCCTATTTTCATTCCGGACAACAAGAAACTAGATCCCAAAAGATGTTTAGCTTTTTATTTAAAAAGAACAGAAAAGTTTAGAAATAAGTCTGGACAGGATATTACTCAGTTATTTTTATCTTCTAAAAAGCCACATCAACCAGTTTCATCTCAGACAATATCTACATGGATTGTAAAAACGATAAAAACATGCATATTTGAGTAGTGAGAAAAGTGTTAAATCTATTAAAGGTCACTCTACCAGAAGTTTGGGTCCTTCATGGGCTCTTTTCAAAGGGGTATCTATGAAGGAGATTATGGAATCTGCTGACTGGTCTAGGGAGACTACATTTACCAAACATTACTTGGCGGATTTGAATATTAATTTCATTGATGTTTAAGACAAAAAGAATTGTCTTGTTTAATATATACATATATATATTTTCGTTTTTTGCGAGTTTGCAAGGATATTTAAGTATATTTTGATCGGATTTGGAGGGTATATTATATTTTGATATTATACACATACCTACAGATAAGGAACTGTTAGTATTTGTACAGTAAACAGTGTAAATACAGTGGGATTTTTTAATACAGTGGTTATGTTCATATTGGATTGAAACTTATTCATGCAGTTTTTGACATACCTAATGAATTGTTCCAAGTTTGGATTCTTCAGAGGTAAGTTCTTTTAAAATTTCTTTATTGTTATTTGATGTTTAAAATGTTATGGATGGATTTCAACTTGAATCTCCCTCCACCAGTAATTCTTTAACTGCTTTATAATCAGATATTAATCCTAAATGTAATGTCAGGTAAGTATTTCATGAAATAAAATTGGAAAATTTGTATTTCAAGTTATAATTTTATGAATAAATACTTACCTGACATTACATGATCCCTCCCATCCACCCCACAGATTTCAAGTTTCCATAGGGCCGTTAGGCGCAAAAATGGAAAACTGATTTCACGTGGGAATACCGGAAGTGTGTTCTGGTTGGTTAAAACTTCAGGAAGTTATTTGTTTCAATGCATTATGGATGTAAACAAATGCACACTTCCGGTTAAGCGAGTTCAAAAGGTAGGACGAAATGAAATCCTAAATGTAATGTCAGGTAAGTATTTATTCATAAAATTATAACTTGAAATACAAATTTTCCAATTTTTTCCAGATTCTTTTTCTAAAAATGTTACATTGTGTAGATTTGCTATAAACTCATTACACTGAACATAGAAATAATTTTACATTAACAGTATATCAGGAAAAGATTTGTCTCCAAAAAAGCTTGTATGTAATAAAGCTAAAAAATATATAATATAAAATAACCTACTTTTTTCCAGACAAAGTTTGACTACTTCATAATGACCATTCTCCACAGCCAAACTCAGACAAGTGTTTCCATCAATATCTTTGTCTGTTACCATCTATATTACAGAAATATTTATATATGTACTTTATGTAAAGTGTCAATGTCTAACAAGTGTCTTTGTTTTTTATTCTAGAACTGTCAAATATTTAGGGCCTTATAACGATACCATGAATAAAACATGTAAACAAGTTTGATGGATGTAAGGCTATATATAGAACAGAGCTATGTATTTATATCTATATCAAAGTGGTTAATCCTTCCTATGATCAGTCACTATGTTTTTATTTATAGAAATTGAGGTAGGTAATAGGTGATAGTGGTAAAGGAAGATACTAAAATTAAAACAAGTATATCTAAGAGAGGACTTAAAAAAAAGAGAGTTGATATATCTACTTAAAGACCATCAACATTTAATTTTCAAATTTTAAGCTTTATCTTTTGGATGTACATGGCGACAGCACATTATTTTTATAAACATTTACATGTATCTATTTCTTCACTCCATGACTCGTTAAGTAAACACATGTTACAGGCAAAAAGTGTACAATGTGAATTATATATATGTATATACAGATTTCAGAATTTCCTTATGAAACATCTCAGGCAGTTATTTTCAATGTTAATAGGTTTAAACAGTTACCCTACCTTACTTAACCGACAGTGATCAGCCTTTGCCACCAGTTTAGAGCCGAGCCAGTCTGCACATCCATGCAGTTTGACCAGGCTCTATACTGTTAAATGATATTTCTAAAACTGATAATGGCAAATTCCAAAAGAAAAGCCAAAACAAGTCTGTTTCAGAAATTCAGCAGGTTAACTGTTAAATCTTGCAGAACACAGCCATTTTTTTATACCATTATCCAATACATGTACCTTCAGGGAATTATCTGACATTGGTGAAATTGTTTGACTGGCAGTTGACATGGACAAAATACTTTCAATGTCTTTCTGACTACGCTACCTAACCACAAACAAATTTTTCTTTGTCTCAACCAAGAGCCAATAACCATCTTTTCTCTATCTAAAAGGCACTGTATCTATTCTTCATATGAAATGAGTAAATGACACACATATCTTATATACATGTATATGATTTCACTACTACCAATCAGTCAGAACACCCTTAACTATACAAAATTAAGACTGCTCTAACAACAGATTTTGATGTCCACCAGGACTTTTACTTTCCCTTTCTAACCTCTCTTTAGATTTTATCTAAAAGAAAGGAAGAACATTTCAGATAAACAATTAACACACCTCTTGTATGGTAACCCATCCACCAGAACTTTTAGCAGCAGCCTTGAACAATTTCTTCACAACCTGTACATTACCCTCAGTACACGCAGCAAGCAGAGGAGTGGTTTCTTCATCATCTTTACAACGTAGATTTGCACCACTATCTATCAACAGACGTACAATGTTTGTCTGTCTGTGAGAGGCGGCCATATGAAGAGCTGTCATACCCTGTTTGTCTGTTGCCTAGTTATGTATTTATAGTATTTCTTTAATATTGCTACTATCATTTTAGAAAATCTAAATACATGTAGTTTCATTCTCCATTTTTTCAAAGCAAATTTCAAGAAACATGAGTGTAAAAATCATTAGCAACGGCAATATTAGATTGATAATGAATGATATGCAGGCTAAAGGTGATCTGTGGCTTTGAAATAATCTTACACTGATATCATACACAAATTCTTTATCTTGTTTATAGCACTATATTATATTGTATTAAACTAGTTTTAACTTTACAGTATTATTCTGATAGTTCAAAATAAGAAGCAAGATAAATTGATTTTACATTGTTTTCAAATTTAGCACAAAACAAGCAATCTTAGAAGAATGAATGCACATTAGGTATATATTGCTAAAAACAACAAAAGACTTAATCTGCTTAAAGTATACATGTAGTATGCACAACTAGGTAATAATAATAAATGCTATAAAGTTTCATCCAAGTCTGATTACGGGATTTTGGAGAAAAAAAAACCTGACAAAATCAATGAACTGACTGACACCCTCAATGCTATACATGTATAGTCCCCCAACATTGTAGAAAGTATAACCATCTATACTACACTATATCATACCTCTAGTTGTAATGATTGTGAGTAGGTAAGAAGCTCTCGTGTAGCTACTTCATTTCCTCTCATACATGCGTAGTGTAGCGGAGTCTGTCCATAGATGTCACGTTCGTTAATATCTGCTCGTTTACTGATAAGGTAGTTGATGACACTAGACTGTGACGCCAACTCTTCTGCTGTATCACTCACTTTCATACCTCCATTAACATGCTCTTCAGTTCCCTGAAACAGTGAAAATATTGAAAATATCTTTATGACATCTGAACTTTATAATTATGACAATAGCTAAATGCTCACCTACCCCAAATATTATATGATTACCAAATTGAAAAATAAAATTATAGCTGGGCTGAAATATTTAGTCTGGTTTAGCAACTAGATTTCAATGCTTTATTTCAAAGACAATATCTAAATTATTTTTCATAAAAAACACATTTTTACTCCCCATCTTTATATGACACAGCAATTAACATTCATTACATCAACATGTTATTTTAAATCTATAGGACATTATACTGCTAAATATATGACTACAAAATTTAATATATTAACAATATCTAAAACAATAAAACAAAGACACTTATAAGCTTGATTACTGCACTGCAGCCATAACTTATATCCCTGGCAAAACATAAACATGTATGTACTTTATTACAGGGGTCTGAAACTATATTTAAGGTCATGGCTTTTGTAACATAATGGGGAGCCTACATCATGACTAAGAATTTAGTGTATCTTAATTTAGGTCTTACATATATATCTTGCAACTTTAGAAGTTAACGGTAGGTTATTGTATGAATATGTCAAGTATATTTTTGTTTTTTTTGTTTCCCAAATATTGGTAGACAGGAAGGACAACATTAGAATTCTGCTGTTGATTTTTTTAATTAATAAATGTTCAGTACATTTTTTCTTAGATATTTCTCACTTTTACCTAATATAGGAGTAAACGTCAAATTACCAAATAATTTCCTATACAGGATATGATTGTTAAATGACAAAATCTTATCTTCATTTTTTTTGAATGACAACATGTTTATCCACATCAAATATTATTCACATATGTTCATTAATTATTCATATATAAATCTTCAGTAACATCTGTTGTTATTCTGTCTATTTTCTACATAATTTAACTTGATAAGAATAATAAATAATTGTTCTATGAAATCAAACATTTTTTTATAAACACATTGTACTTGTATTCTATCAGGGCTGGCACTGGACTTCCATTACCGTAGAATTTTCCCTTTATGCTATCATTTTACCTTATTCTAGAACTTTCCCATTATCCTATAACTTTCCCCTTATCCTAGCACTTTCCCTTATTCTAGAACTATCACTGACCCTTTTCCTGAAGATATCCCCTTATCCTAGAACTTTCCCTTTTTCCTATGTCTTTCCCCTTAACCAAGAATTTTCCCTTTATCCTGTAACTTTATATGACTCTAGACTTTTCCCCTTATCTAAGCACTTCACACTGACCCTTTTCCTCAAGCTACCCCCTTATCCTATAACTTTTCTTTTAACCCAAGACTTTTCTTCCCTTTATCCTATTTTCCCCCTTATTCTACAGTTTTCCCCTTGATGCCTTGTGTCAACTCAGGAAGCTATCAGCACCATTTTTCTTATAATCAGATTTGACAAGGCTAGGATTTTATAAACCTATCTCATACTTATATGTACAAGTATATGTAGTTTTTTGTTTGTTTATTAAAAGAAAATTTGCATTAGTGAATAAGTCATTTAAAAATTAATATCAAAAATAAACATAAATATTGAAGCAGGAGAAAATTGTACATGTATTTCAACAACTGTTGGAGATACAAGTATAGATTATAATAATATGTTTAACATATTTCATTATATCTTATTGATTACATGTACTGAAAAATCAGTATTTTCTACATGACGCATAATTATACTGTGAAATACTTAAGAATATAGATTTTATAAATCAAGTTAATATCCATTACTTTGTACACTATACAAGAACATGCCACTCATTGATTAGTCTGTTGTGACATTAATTCTACCACACAAAAGTAATCTCTAATTGTTTTACATTTTAACTTAAAATATTACCTTTATGGATTCCAAAAACTTTTTTTTTTTTTTTTTTTTTTTTTTAGGCCCCATCTGGGTAACCCCGTTTATTTACCCCGTAATAGGTATGAGGGGGTCGGGGTCATCCTCCATCATACCTTACATTGTTAATATACAATATACATGTTGCAAAATAATTATATTCATGTAAATATTGTCAAATACATCTACAGTATATATTTTGCATATAAATATAAACAACATACATACAATAAACCCATCTATTTTCCAAAAATATTTTACCAATAAAAATTACTACTTATTAATAAACAATTAAACAATCTGTTACGAGGTAAAGTTTTGTTTCACATATTAAGTGTAGTTTAAGCAATTAAGGATCTTATAATTGACCATCTATTATTTTCATCATCTGTCAAATGTGTATTTCTATAGATATTCCATGCTAATTTCAAACTATTTTTAAAACCAATACATGTAGGTAAAAAGTTTTTTCTCTTAGACAAATAAATATATCTTTTCAATTCTAGAAACAATATGTCATATTTAAAAATCTTTATTTTCTGTACCTAATATGAATGATTTACAACAAAGAACATCGTCAAAATTATGTAAGTTTTCTCTAAGGTATTGAAATAGGCTTTGAATTTTCTGACATTCCCAAAATAAATGTAAAAGTGTTTCTTCACAGCATTTACAAAAAGTACACATTTTATTATCAACAATTTTCATTTTAAACAAAAGTGAGTTTGTAGCTAAAGTTCTATGAATAATTCTTGTTTGGAACCACTGAATATATGAATCTTTAGAACATTTGAAAACATAACTATATATTAACTGCCAATTAATGTTATTAAAAACTTGGAAAATGACCAAGTAACATTAATATTTTCCTATCATCCTATGACATGAAGTAACAACATAGTCTTTCAGTATTCATATTAATTTCTATCTAATTCTAATGTCTAAAATATCTTGTTCAAGTAAAGATAAATACAAAATAACTAGAAACAATTAGGACACATTCCATGTTTTCACAGCGGGATGTACAGACAAGGGCAAATCTGAAACACAGACAAATTCCCCCCAAATCTTTGCCCCCCCTTTGCAAGGGCAGACAGTTGCCCCCTCGTATGATTTGTAAGGGCAGACATTTGCCCCCATACAACTGTGCGGGGGTCAAATGTCTGGATACCGGCAAATCTATATGACCCCCATCCTTTTTAGGGCATAAAATTTTTTTGTGACTTAAGAACTAGTGTTATATCTAAAATACTTGTAAATTATTTAGTAAGTGTAACTATAGATACAAAAAGAGAGAATAAATGCTCACATCTTCCTCATCCTCCTCTGGTTTCATTTTCTTCCCTTCACGTTTAAATCTAGCAGCATAATGTAGTGGTGTCAGGCCCTCTTCATCTCTTGCATTTATATCTGGTGGTACAATAAACACATTAGTAACAAATATGAATACATACTTCAAGTATGAAACTGTTATGGTCATTTAAGGTCATGCAGCAAAAAAATTACCAGCTTTAATAGTGGAGAAAATCCTAGATGCTCCCTCTATGTACTCAGACAGGTAGATCATTCACTCATATTATCAAATCTTGTAGTCTTAACATTTAACTATATATAGACTTCAATTAAAATGTGTAATACATGACTGCTTACACCACCCAAATAGGCATTGCTATTACATGATCAATACTCTCTCTATCAGTACTTGACCATTCTGTTATAAGGCTGATGTATTATTTTGTTTCTTTCAATTAAATATAATATAATTATATTCTTTATGTAAAAGAACTGGTTCAAGAAACTCTGACACAGTTTTGGAGATTTTTCAGTCTTAATGAGTCCAAAGTAGAACCTTTTAAAAGGTAACTGCATGGCTTTAAACATGTAATAATTCATAATTTGAGGTGTGACTGGTGTGAACACTATTACACTTGGGTCAAACTCAACAAAGTTGAACTACTTAGTCATCAAGGTCCTTATATACAATACCAGGGCTAACTACAGTAAAGAAAGATTACCTGCTCCGTTATCCACAAGGACTATGAGTACATTAAGCTGATTGTAGCGTGCAGCATAATGTAGTGGTGTAAGATCATCCTCGTCACGGACATTTATCTTCTTCTTTACATTGCCTCCCATATTACTCAACAATATCTTGGCACTCTTAACATCTCCCATTCTTGCACACTGCAATATTTCATGAAAAATAGATATGTTTGTTAATTTTCTTTGTGTGTAGAGACTTTAATCAAAGTGTTGTTTAAAAAGGCTTTCCAACTTCTGGTGCTCTCCTTAGAGCATTAATACAAGAATGCAACTTACTTTACTGAAGTTAGATGGCTTCCAGTAATGATAAAATCACCCATTCTTTTAGGAGAGTTAAACGTATATGTAGCTGATAAAATATGTAGGTACTAAATTTTACTTTGTTTTGTTTGTTTGTTTAATTTTACGCCTTTTCCCAACAGTATTACAGTCATATAGGCGGGTAGTTTCCTAACCATCGTTCCTGGAGAGTAATTAAATTTTACTTAAATATCTATCATCTGCTACCAGTGTTGGCAATATATTAAAGCCTGCTAGCCATTTCATGCTTAAAAGAAAATAGCACACATCAATGAGCATTCAAATAGTTAGGTCTATATACACAGCCAGTCTTATTTGATTGTAATTTACTTGACTGTTAGTTTTTTTTTCCATCTAAATGAAACTACAGTCACATATTGGTGTTTTTTCACTACTCCATATACCAGTAACATATAAATCAACGGACATAACATTTAATTGTATACTGCTACAAAGAAGACCTAAACCAAAAGAGAAGGCACAATCAACCCAATTTTACTCAAGTGTTTCATGTTCTATCATACTAAACAGTGAAATGACAAGCCATTGTATGTCATTCAATAAGACATTGCAAAATGTGCCTTTTTATGTAAATTTGAAGGTAAATAAAATTATTCAAAGCAGTCTTATTCAAGAATTACTTTAATGTAAATTTGGCCTAGTGGTTTCAAGTTTCAATCTACGAATGGAGGGGTTCACATACAATTAGATCAAAGCCTGCTTTTTCTTATGTAAACTAGGGCTGGTATGTTCAGTCTTGAGGATGTGACATTTATAACCAGCATAATCTTAAAAGATTTCAAAATTCCAATTTAAATTGTCCTCAAGAAGATGTCAACTTCTCAACATGAATTAGTTGCTTAATTGCATAAAACATAAACATGCCATCTTTGAAATTGTCATGGAAAAATATGCACCTTTTAAAAGAGCAGAGGTTGACAGTCAACAGACCTTATGCTCTGTTAGCAGAGTTCACTACAGATGCAGTTAGTTATACATGTATATCTCTATAGATACCATATTTAAATTCTTGAACATGACATCATAGAAATGTTAAAAACCTGATCCCATAGATACAAAAATTAAATTCTTGAACATGACATTATAGAAATGTTACAAACCTGATGCAAGGTAAGGTTAAGTATTTCATTAGTGCTCTCCACCCTCGGGATTGAGGGGACAGGCGGCAGTGGTGCGGGTTCGGGATCATTCCCCGGTTTCCGTGGTAAGTCAGCCATCTCCACATTACCGGGTCCTCGTGGGTTTGTTACATTGATGGTAGAGCGAAAATTGCCCTGTACGCCATCCTGAAAAATACAATTAACATAGATCACCTTCCAGATAACTCATTTAATTATACAGCTAAATATAACAATGATAAATTGTTTAATTTTTTTTCAAGGCCAGTTCTGGACATTGTATTGTTTAAGAGATAAACAAAATATCTGTCTAATACTGTCTAGGTTTGTAATAAAGTGTATTATTTATGTTTTGAATGTGAACCTTGATTCTAGGAATTGAATCTACATTATAACATCATAGTAAATTATTTATTGTCATGCCATTCATACTGTATTTCTAGAACATGAGTAATCTTTCTGTTTCTGAATGTTACTGACCAAGACAAAAGACATATTTGTACCAATTTAATATAATCTAGTTTTGTCAATAAAACAAAATACAGGCTAAATACAAAATATTTTAAAGATTTATTCCTAAAACAATAAAGAAAGAGACGAGGAGGAATAGGAAGAATATTTAACCATTAACATGCTGAATTAATGACTTATTATCAATTTGGAGGATATCAAACTTGGTCAGCCAACAATATATAGCATGGTCAAACTGCAAAAGCTAATTATTTTCAGTTTCAGATAGGTAAGGCATTGTAATAGTTTTATCTTGTTAAACTCAATTCTTGTTTCATATACATGTATAATCTTTATTTATCAACTGAAATATCAGGTTTAATCTTCATCTCAAATAATGCATTACCAATATAAACCATAAAAAGTACTAAATCATTCATGTAAAATTATGGATATACAGGTAAAAGGTAATAATTGTCCAGAGATTTTTTAAATATTTACACATAAAAAATCCAATAACACACAAATAAGGTAAATATTTAACTTGAAGTCAATGTAATATGATATTGGATATATCAGATGAAGTTTCATTTACTGACATTGTCATATAAACATGACCTATATCATATAATACATCACTGGTAATTATAATATTTCTCAAAATAACTTGAATTTTTTTAGAATTTTTGAGAAAAAGCAACAATGACAGTTTTTCCATAAAAAAATTAACTTACATTTTATTTTCATTATTCGAAGAAATTAAAAGTTGGATGAAGTGTTATGAAAGTTATTTTCAGGTTAAACTTAAACTTTATTAATGTCATTATATTTATGAAAATATTTCAGATATATATAAAAGAGGAGAAAATAACGAAAATGACCCCTTTATATTGATAATTTCAAGCACCAGTAAGTACCTAACCAGCCATGACATACATGTAGATACAGCTTTTTTCGTCAATCTCAACTTTGATTCTTTTGTTAACACATTGACAGCACTAACCCCATATACCGGTATTTTTAAAGGGACTCTACTAAAGTTTTTGACATGACAGGAGAAACCAAAAACTTGTGAGCAAATTTGCAATGCATTTCACTTGAATTGGGCTAAGAATAGATTTTCAATTTAATTCTGTCAGCATTTTGAGCATTTTCTTTTTCCTTTGCAGATTTTTCCTATTTTATGTGCCCTTTAAGTGTGACATTGACAGCAAGCTAGTTGATGTGTTCTGAACATCAGTCAGACTGCGACAGAACTAAATTAAATACATTTTGTAAAAGTTATAAATAGCATAATGTACGTACCCTTGGATTATCATGAGAAGAAAAATGAAATAAAAAATCATGTACATGTACTGTAGCATTGCTATAAACCAATCACATAGCTGCCTTTATGTCCAACATTGCATATTATTTTACCAATTTTACTTTTCTTTAAACCTATAATTACTCATATAATTTCAGTGTAGAACATTTTGTAAAATGCCACTTTTAAAACATATTACTGTTAACCCTTTCACTGCCATAGGGACAGAATAAGCTGCCCCTGTTATTTTTGGCGTATTTGCCATATGGACGGCTTTAGCCGTTTCTATAATAATAATAATAGTAATAATAATAAATTAATAATAAAAATAATAATAAATATAAAGAAAATTATACAATCAACAATAATTATTATTATACTCACAGATTTGGAAACATATATAATTATTATAATACTTATAACAAATAATATTAATTATATTAATTAATAATATAGTAATTTCTAAGAAAATCCTCTGGCAAATAGGTGATCAATAAAACAATATCCCTCTGGCAGCGAAAGGGTTAACAGTCTGTATGTTTAATCCACTGGTATAGTCACATTTCAAATACTGTTGAACCATGTCAGTTGATACCTGTTGATATTTCATAATGTTCTTTTTAAATGTTGAAAAGTCACAAGTCATATAATCTTATAAAATCAGAAGGTAAGTACATGTAAAACACATTGAGAAGAATTGAACTTTAGTTAGATAGTATAAAAGCCATATGGCTTTAAAACTGTTAAGAAAATTTTCTTCCATTGACCATTACAGTGTAATGTCAAAAATTTAACTAACAGGAAATGGAAGTACCAAATTTCAAGAAGCTGTGATAATTAGTTGCTAACAAAACTGTTCTACCATCCACCATTAATGTTGGAAATTTTATTAAGTCGGTAAACAGGAAGAGGAGAGCGACAGACCTAAAATTGAATCCCATGGTATGGGACCATGTGTAATGTTGTACACCAAATATCAAGAGGCTGTGATAAGTAGTTGCTGAGAAAACTGTTACGAAAATATTTTCACGTCCGCCGTCGGTCATTCATCGTATTATAACCCCGGTTTGCACCTGTGCAACCCAGCCAAAAATATGATTTGATTGGATAGAGGCTGGTTTGAAAATTGTTTATCTTGTAGTAACAAGATTTGATTGATACAATAGCAGTTTAAGGTAATAGCTTGGAGCTTATTTCACATGGAGAGAGAAAATAAATGTTTCAGTATTTTCAAACAGGTTTAGGATTCACTCAAGTGATAAATGCCCCCGAAAAGGTTTCTTAAGCATGCAGGTATTATGAAAAGAAAAGAGAATGAAAGTAACTAATTGCTGAATATTGTTCTTTGTATTATTGTACCTGTAATCTCTAATTGTGATAGCATGAACCTTCAAAATATTGTGTGACCTTGACCTTTGAAGTAGGGACGTGGTTCCTGGACGCGACAAAATGTTATTATGAGATAGACATTTGTGCCAAATTATTTCAAAATCCCTCAATGCATAACAAAGTTACAGTTTGGACATGATTGTTGTGTAAGTGGGGACACACAGACAGACAGACAGACAGACAGACATGAGTCTTAGCCGCAACACATTGTCTTGATGTGGCAGACATTTGTGCTAAGTTATCTTAAAATCCTTCCATGCATGACAAAGTTAGAGTCCGGACATGAATGTGTATCTTCAAACTCTTCTCAAGAGAATGAGTACCTTCAAACTATAAGTGTGACCTTGAAGGTAAGGACATGGGTCTTTGTCATGAGAGGTCGTCTTGATGTGGTAGACATTTACGCCTAGTTATTTTAAGATCCTTTGATGCATGACAAAGTAACAGCCCTGACTGTACCTATAAACTCTTATTGTGATAGAGTGAACTTCAAAATGGTAATCTGACCTTGACCTTTGAGGTGGCCACATGATTATTCGACGCGACATATTGTCTAAATGTTGTAGACATTTATGCCAAGTTAATCCTTCCATGCATGACAAAGTTACAGCCCAGACTTAATAATTCTAATTGTGATAGTGTGAACCTTCAAAATGTATTGTTAGTGTGACTTTGACTTTTGAGGTAGAGACGTATTTCTTGGACGCAACACATTGTCTTGATGTGGTAGCAGTTATGCCTAGTTATTTCAAAATCATTTGATGCATGACAAAATTACAATCCGGACACGAATGTGTGTACCTATTTACTCTAATTGTGATAATGTGAAACTTCAAAATGATAGTGTGACCTTGACCTTTGAGGTAGGGACGTGGTTCTTGGATGCAACACATTGTCTTGATGTGGTTGATATTTGTGCCAAGTTATTTCACAATCCCTCAATGTATGACAAAGTTACAGTCCGCACATGAATGAAGTGGGGACGGACAGATGGACAGACAAACGGTGCAATTATATTATGCTTATGTTAGGAAGCATAAAAAGGCAACAGAATTCAATATGATTATTAAAGGATTTTTAAACTTTTAAGTAGGGATTAATTTCATTTCAGTCCAGCTACACCTGCTAACAATTTCACATTTTAATGTTAAACATGCAAGAAAAATAACAAACAGATCTTTCCAGAACTGTCTATTACAAGCAAGTGTTAAAATTAAAAGAGAAATACATATTAATCAAGCTGTGGGCAAGTAAGAGAAAAGTATATACATGTGTGCACTCACCTGGAACTCATCCATTGTATGGACAGGGTGGGGCAGTATTTTAGACAACTTGCTATTTTGTTTTTCACGTTGTACACTGATGAATTAGATTCTCCAATTAATATGCAGCTGTTAAACTAATCTGTAAATGAAAAGAAATACTTTGCAAAATGCATTACCCGGTAGATCTATATTGTTATTTGGAATTCTGTATCGCACTTTTTACAACGATAATCTTTTTGTTAATTAATTTTACAGAAATATCACTATCATAACATAGCTATACCTTTTATTACCGTAGCATTAAACAAACTGTTCTTTATGAAAGACAGCAACAAGTATTTAGAAATGACAATTATAAAAAGAAGTATTATATGTTGCGAAATTCCACTGGATCTACCCCAACAAGAAATGTTTACCTCTTCACCATGATGGATCACGTGACACGCTAGTATAAAACCCGTAACTCAGGATATCTAGAGTCGTAGCATCGGTATATGGTTAACAGATCCATGAAAAGGTTTAGATGATAAGGGTGTTATACATGTAAAGTACACATAAATAAATGAAACAAAATTAAATAAAATTTCAATACAATGGTTTTGTTAAGAATGACATATAGTTACAAGGAAAGCCAATTAGGCTGGTGTGCTTATTTCCAACGGGGTCCAACAAGATGAAACCAGAGAGACATTCATTTCTCAATTAAAAATATACAATGAGATAATCTACAAATTAATCTTAGCATTTCTAGGTAGGTTTTCATAATAGATTAAGTAGATGCAAGTGGAAAAGACACTCACTGCATGGATTTCAGTATCTTAACACTTATATGCTGTATTTTCACAATAATTTTGCATTTTCACAGAAAAGAGGCACAGGAAAAACAGAAGATGAGTAAAATATAATATGATTACGCGTACACATGTTGCCACTGAGTAATGGAAAAATCACTTTGATGTTGTGCAGCCCAAATTGAGCAAGATGGCTTTTAACAGAAGTTTTATATAAAGTTGGATTTGATATACATCTTACATTATCTGGCAAACTATTCCAATAGAAAAAGTGCCATTATATGTCTTATTATCCCCCGCCGAAAATTTTCGGCGGAGGATATAGAAAAAGTCTCCGTCCGTCCGTCCGACCTTCCGTCCGTCCGTCCGTCCTTCCGTCCGCCATTTTTGTCCGGAGCATATCTCTAAAAGTATTTGAGTTATCAACTTGAAACTTTATAAGTGGATAGACCTCATTTAGGAGGAGTGCAGTGCACAAGAATGATAACTCTACCTTGCATGATTTTTGAGTTATTGCCCTTTGTTATTTTTCAAGATTGATTTTTGTCCAGAGCATAACTCCAAAATCTTATGAGATATTAACATGAAACTTCAGTGGTGCATAGATCTCACTCAGGAGGTGTGCAGTGCACAAGAATGATTACTCTACCTTTCATAATTTTTGAGTTATTGCCCTTTGTTATTTTTCATACCTAATTTTTCACCTGAGTGGAGCATAACTCAAAAAGTGTTTGAGATATCAACATGAAATGTCATAGGTGGATAGATCTTATCGAGGAGGAATGTTGTGCGCAGGAATTATAACTCTTCCCTATACAATTTTTGAGTTATTGCCCTTTGTTTTTTTTTCCATGCTATTTTGTCCAGAGCTTATCTCAAAAAGTATTTGAGGTATCAACTTGAAACTTCAAAGGTGGATGGATCTCATTGAGGAGGAGTGCAGTGCTTAAGAATGATAACTCTACCCAGCATTATTTTTGAGTTATTGCCCTTTGTTATTTTTAAAAATTAATTTTTGTCCAGAGCATAACTCAAAAAGCCTTTGAGATATCAAAATGAAACTTCATAGGTGCATAGATCTCACTCAGGAGGTGTGCACTGCACAAGAATGATAACTCTACCTTTTATAATTTTTGAGTTATTGCCCTTTGTTCTTTTTCATACTTAATTTTTCAATTCAATTTTTTTCTCAAAAAGTATTTGATGTATCAACTTGAAACTTCATAGGTGGATAGATTTTACTGAGGAGGGATGCAGCACACAAGAATGATAACCTACCCTGCATTATTTTTCAGTAATTGCCCTTTGTTATTTTCAGCCATCAGTATTCACATAGGTTTCAAATCTGTAATCACTATAGCCATCAGTTTTCATTACCAAAAGACCTCTTAAAATGGAATTATTCCGCTCTACTACATTTACATTTTTTTCAATGAGCAAACACATTCGGCGGGGGATGGCCATGTTGACATGGCTCTTGTTACAATGAGAAATTTGAAAATTTTATTAACTTATTTGATCTAGCGTTGTATTTGTGTATACATGTATCAGGCATCCGAACAAAGTTTGTTTTCATATAAGTTGGACACTTATTACAAAAAAATCTTATGCATATGATTAAGTCCAAGAGGATTAAGAATAATCAAAATGACATTGAATTAAAGCAGAACAAAGCAGTTTTCTACCACAGTTAAAAGATAGACATTTACTACTTATGTACAAAAAATTAAGTTTTTACTTTAGATATAACTGTATTAACAATTTCTTCTCCAGACAGAACATTTTTTCAATTTTCAAACCATTATATTTGACTGTCTAAATTGATTCAATAGTGTGACCATTACAAATAATGTTGAACCTATTCATCTTTCTAAGTTTTTTTCTTTGGACCAAAAATCATGCATTCAGTTTTTACTAAGTTGAGAGACAGTTTATTATCAACCAGCCAATCTCAACAAGGTTCTATAGCTTTTCCTAATTTCTGTGAAATAAAATCAGGATCATGATGAGAAAAAGGTATAGTGCTGTCATCAGCATATAAAATGAATCTACACTCAAAATCGATACTGGTGATCATATCATTTACATAGCATAAAAAGAGCAATGGACCTAAAATACTTCCCTGAGGAACACCACAATTTTACTATTGACGGAGATTGAAACCTCTTCAATATGTACAACTTGTTTTCTGTTATTACGATAAGATCTAAACCAGTCTGTAATGGTAATTCCCATCAAGTGAAGTTTTCCGCATAGAATATTATGATCAACAGTATCGAATGCTTTTGGCAAATCTAATCATAATCATTCCAGTTAATAAGCCTTTGGAATTTTTCAGGCTGATTTGATCTAACAAATGTATAAGACAAGTATAACTTGAATGTGAACTTCTGAATCCAGATTAGTGGTTATGTACTATGTACTATTCTCAGCCTTTTTGTACAATGATATATTTTCAACCTTATTTCTTTCGATTTGACGATTATATGAAACGATTAATAAAAAAACAAACATCTTTAACCTTAAAAACTGAAGGCCGCTATAACTCTTTATGTGTTAATTTAAACATATATAATCATACATGGAGCCAAGTAAATATGCAATCTATCACAATCTATCATTAGTTTAGGAAATATTTTACAAAATATCTTCTTCTTTTTTGTTTGGTACACTGCTTGGCTCCGATGGCCCTGTGTTGCTGGATTTTGTAGGAGGGTGCGTTCATTCATTGTTGACCTTTGTTTTCATATTTAAAAAGCACTTATCATTATATATAAAACGATTTCCTAGATCCTCAAGAGAAAATCAAAACAAAATATGGACGCAATAGTTTTAATTATTTTTATTTGGTCTAGTTTACCTCAATTCATATCAATTTATAATTAATTTATGAAACGTTGAATTTTAATAGAACCAAACCATGCCTGAACTGTTCAGCAATTGAAAGTAAACATTTATATTAGATTTCAAAATACCCTTTTAATTTCTAAATCAGATTATACTAATAGCAATCTTTGACAATCCGGAGAGAATCTGAACATTAATTAAATTGCAACAACAGTGAAATGGGTGACATGTGCTGCTCCAGACAATACATGTGTTTATTTTCACTTAAAGCAGCATGCCTCCAGATTCATGCTAATATTCATGAAAATTTTGAAACTGCATTTGAAATTAAAATACAGTAGAATCCCTTCTTAAGACCACCCCGGAATTAAGACCACCTCGCTATTGAGACCATTTTTTAAAAGTATGGAATTTTTTGTTCTTTATGTCAATGGTTTCATGATCCAGAATTAAGACCACCTCACTTATCCACTTTTAAGACCATAAGATTCAGTCCCAATTCTTTGTTTTTTTATTTATTTGACCCCAGTATTGAGACCACTGATTTAAGGTTAACACCTACCAAGATCTAAAATTTGCTGTTATTATCAGCTTGAGTGCTCTAAGGCATGACACCTAATTTGACAAGGTGTCAAGAACACCTTATATCATTGGGATATTGTATGAAATAAGGTGAGAAAGTAAATTTTAGAGTGGTTAAATCTTACTTTAAGCACATTGATTATGCGAAGAACTTATTTTTTATTTGAGTGTTGAATTATGTACATCATATAATAATTAATATGTTGAAATTGATATTGAAATCAGGCAAAATACATTTTGATATTTTTTTCTTTCCATCAGATGCTAATTTATAACATAGTTTTATGTTGCAGTTGCTGGTATATATATTGTTTGTTCTTAAAAATGCTTAAAATAGACCATGGTCAAAAAGAGTGTAAGCATCGATTAGAATATTCAGAATTAAGACCACCCCGCAATTAAGACCACTTTAGCCCAGTCCCAATGGTGGTCTTAATTGAGGGTTTTTACTGATAAAAAAGTATTTACACATTGCAACGGCATACAATCCATATACATTACCAAAAATACGTCAAAATATGCAAAAAACTGCAATTAATGCCTTTGCCACGTAGTAACATATGGTGCTAAATACGGTCATTTATTACATATGTAAATTATTACTTTTTCATCAAGTTCGATTTTCTTGAACTATTTTAGCTCATCTGGAGACATGCAGTTTTCAAGTTATCTATACATTGTAACCATATCATGGAATGGTGACTGCAAACGAATTGCTTTGGGTCTAGTTAGGTATGAGGATTTCTTAGGTTAATGTTGATCAAACTGAATTAGGGCACAATTTCTTATTTTACTGTCTAATCAGGATCTATATATTGCTGTTAGCTTTATATTGGTAATTTTAAATTGAAACTCTTAAACTTTGAACTTTAAATGGACTGCTCCAAATTCCAAGCAACACAAATCCATCATACAATAAAATAACATGAAAATTGCAGACTCGGTTTGATTGAGTCTGTACTTTAACGAACAATGCGGATGAGGGAGGAAAAGTAAAACGAACAATGAACAAGAGATGCACTGGTCATTTTATTTGTTTACATGTCAATGTAATTCCATTCTGTCAAATTATTTTTGTATCATCTATAAACTAATTTTCGATTTGTTTGTTTACACATCTCTTGTACTGTATCGTTAAGTTGTATTGTTCTATTTCCTGCCTTGCGCGTTACTGTTCTTCTTTGCTTCACCCATGTCGCTTGCCTTCGGTGGTGGAC